GCGCACAGGACGGGTTGGCATAGCTTGAAAGCGGCCGCTTCTGCCGTAGCTAAATGACGCTGTACGAGGAATTTTGAATAATTTGATGGCACCTTGTAGATCACTCGGAAGGCTTCTTTGGCACCCACGCAATGGTTTGAGTCTACCAGGTGCGCTAAAACGGAACTGTTTATACCCTTAAGTTGGCCCTTCACTAGCCATGCTGGAATGTGTTCTCGTTTTCTCTGTTGGACAAACGCCGGTCTGTGCAACCAATATATCCTGCCCAACAGGAGCAGGTTAATGAATGTGCACATAGAATTTGTCTGGGCTAGCAGTTTGCCCCTGATGTTTCCGTATAGGAGAGGGCTAGTCGAGAACAGTACAAGGGCTTTAGCTGCTGGGAAGGTGGTTGCTATAGCTTGACTTAGAAGTTTGCTTGGTCCGTCTCCTTGAAATAGGACCCTGATGGATATTCGTTTCTTTGCTGCTGTTAACATTGAGGGCTTTGACGGCCTTTCAGTCATGTTCTTAGCAATACATCGACTGGAATACCCATTTTTCGAAACACGCGTTCAACAATCTTCAGCTCCTCTTCGATGCTATCAGTTAAGCGGATCCTTTTCGCTTTTTGCATCCAAAGTCGTACTGAATTACGCACGGTACGAAGCTAGCAAGATGGACGTATTTCCCAAACCACGTCTTCTTACGGTACAACCCGCGCAGTCGATTTACTTAATTACCATATAAATTTAAAGAACTGACGAGAATTTATCGGAAGCAAACGTATTTTCGCCAATTTATCTTCTAAAATGTTCAATAGGAATTTTTATATCGATGTAAGTTACACCTAGACGTTAATCATTCTCCAACGGTTTCTCAAATTTTGTCAAAGGTCAGCTTAACGGGAGAACAAAGTTGTCTATGCTTTTGTTGCAGTCCATGTCATTCGCATTTTGTGTACAGAGGAATATTGTTGCACCAGGGTCTGGACGGTGTGATTAGAAATGTACAACTAAACAAAGTGTGAAATATTTGCCACGTAATTTATTCAAGGTTATTATAAGATCTTTTTTATCGTTTGCGAAATGATAAACGTTATATATCAATGGTAGGAATGTGACAGTTGCCAATGGCTTTTGTTTTGGCTAAACTGCTCTCGGACCAATGCCCCCGTACCTAGACATGCGACATATAAATGAAATGAGAAATATTTCGTAATCCGTTTTTACATTTAGTTTACCTGATGCCGAAAAGTTTTAAGCTCGGTTAGGCCAAAAAAGGGGATTTGATAATTAGTTTTCATGGTCTTGGTTTAGAATGGAATGTTAGAATAGATAATTGCAGGTCTCATGAAGCTCAGACACACAATGAATATCAGTATCAAAGTATCAGCAGGTAACGATAATTAATACACAGTGATTAAATATATTGGCCACCCTTTCCTAGGAAAGAACTGACTACATATTACTGACATCCTGAAAATGGCATACATTTTGTAAAAGTATGCTGCTATCTTTTAATGAACATGGTGGTTGGGAATGTAATTATATAAACTGAGTACGTCTGTCATGTGGCTTTTCGATACCTGTATAAGTGTGAAGAAAAATTTTCAAAAACTGCATTTTCTGCATCCAAATGTTTTACTTCACTACAGGCGTAAGTCCTGTTCAGGAAGATTTGGTGCTTCATCTATATTCGGAGCAAACAGCGTTTTTGTGTATTGCTGGCTTATGGACGTTATATGCAAATTTACATTCTAAAAACACCGCATTATCAGCATTTTCAAATGAGGCGATATTTTGACTAAGAATCAGCTTTGCGAACGTAGATTCTTAATGAGAAGAAGCAGATTTGATCGCTGGGACGCGAATCTTAAATTATAATGCATGAAATTTAATCGTTAGTAATACATTATTGATGACAAACTATGTGGTAACTTACCCGAGATTCTTAAACAAACCCATAATATTATACACAGGGAAAATCACCCTACGTTAAAACATGAATTTAGAAGAAGTAGTCTTCCATAAAGGGAGTCAAGAAAATATATTTTCTTCATTCAACCGGCTAAAATAAATAGACTTAACGCACTAATCAAGGTCCTTCTCTGTCGGACTGGCAAATACACATGTCTCACCCAGTATAATTTGTCGATGGTAAACAAGTTCGTTAAGTCATATTAATTTCCGTATTAAAGGACAGTTGAGGTCAGTTTTAAAGATACTTGCTGCTCGCTGTTTTTAAAGTATAACCGTATTTTCTAATCGTGGCAGAGTTAACCCGTTATTTATTGTGAACACGTATAGTCTAAAAGTTGTCAAAAATTCGATAACATTCCTTTTAAGAATTGAGCATATTGTCAATGTATCCAACTTATATTTGACTCATACCCGTACATTTATGGTTTTAACTTATGACATAGGATGGCATGCTTAAAATTATTACATTAACAATGAGCATGTTTGTGTAATTTGATTTATATTGTGCTGGTCTCAACAAAACTCCTTGCTACACCGAGACAACAGTGCAGTGCAGCCGAATTGGGTCTCTTTTGTGTACAATAGAAATGTTGTAATAGGCGCACTCCGAGGCACCGTCCCCAGCATTCACCAAATCGTGGATACCTTCGCGGACACTGACACTCTGGTAAACAGGACGGGGCCGTTTTCACTATGAGGCACCTACTGCGAGGCACCTGTTCTCACGAACCTGGTGTCGATAGTAAACACTTTTTCCAAATTTCGATCAGCGAAAGCCAGACTGACACGATTTAAAGAAAACCGGAAGCAAGGTCTGCTGGGCTAGACAGTCATAATTTGACCACCCACAGCGTACAATGTTTGGTAGAGCAAAACATCAAACCTGTCATTTCCAATTTTGTGATTGTCTGAGCATTTCCGAAAAAAATTACGAATAACAGTTTATCTAGAATGGGGGTGCTAATTACTACGTAAACTGCCATCGTGCCATTTGCCTTATGCGAATAACCCTTATATCACCTCCAGAAATTTGGCCATTTGTTCGCAAACAGGTTGTCTTTGAATACAAGTCTGCGTGCGTTTCTTATGTGCAGTTCTTGATGTGGACTGGGACATACAACGGGAATTTGAATCTTCAACTATTATTGCCATCAGGCGAATGGTCTTTGAACCGTAAATGGGTTGGATACTAGACGCCTAAATAATGAGTCATGATTACTAACCCCCTACATCAATGTAGCCGCTTACTGCCAAAATGTGACTTATAAGAGCGAAGTTACGATTTGCAGTCATGTCTTTAATCATCACGACTGGGCTGCTATATAACACTGGCCCCATGCCGTCAAAATCATAGAAGATCTTACCGCTGTGGAGGATTGTTTTATTCCTCGTAGGCTCGATAATGCAGCCTAGATGTCCATATTAGTGCACCAACATGTTTTAGCCCTGATACGTCTGCTTTAATTTGTATCAATTTAAGCGAATTAATTTACTTCAGTTGACCCAAATGCGAAAAAAAGTCACAGTCTCGGTGGGATTCGAGCCCGCACAGTAGGGAAGGTTCTTGCGCAGCCAACGCCCGACCACTGAGCTACGTGGCTTACCGTGCACCGTAAATTTAGTCACACTTGTATGGATTTTACCCGACCAACTTACCACTCGTATGAAATCCACCATTATACTGTTATCAGTTTAAATTACCTCAATGACTTCGGTTTATCAGAATGTGCATTCCTTTCTAGAACTGACAATAAAAGCTATCTTCTCATCCAGATGTTCCTTTATGAACAAAATGTGTGTAAAATAGAGTCATTTTATACGAGCTACGTATGGTATCTTTGTTGATTGCTTATTAGTAATTTATTCAAGCTATTTAGCATACGCCAGAATAACTGATAATCTACCTTTATACCTTTTCGCGAATGTGATAAAAGAAGAGTTGTAAGTAAAATCGAATTAGCCCAATTCATCTCTTAGCTTGCACTACAGGATTTGTAATACTTAATTATTCTGCCTCATATCTAAGAATTTTTCTGGAACTGGTACCAAGAAGAAATTAGAAGTGGAAATGCCATTTCCGTCGGCGGTCGGACTGACTCCGAAGTAAAATATTATCAGTTAATCATAGACACGTCTATGAAAAAAACTGTATTGCCCAACCTATCGGGCCATATTACGTTAGTTATAATCAGGACTGTACGGAACAAGAAACCACATACTTGACCGGCTTTCTGGACAGACACAACCACCTCTACCTGTGTTACTGTGGATTTAGAAAGCGCATGAGCTGTCCCATAATATCAACCAGTGAATATCAGCGATGCATTCTTTCGATGGCAAAGAGGCTGAACTGACCACTACTGACTAACTTTTTTGTCATCGGTGAACAATACGCAGTATGCGAGAATTGAAATTAAACCATTTATTTAAAGTATATTTTTATATCAAATGAAATGGTACTTAGGATAAAGGCATATGTCCTGTCCAGATCGGCTGCAGAATATGTGAGGTTACTTATTGATGGCGTTCCTGTGTGTCTTCTGACCGCTTGTTTAAAGTGGCATTTAGGATTCGTCGTAGAACTGTCCTCGTAAGGGGTCACACTAACGGTCAGAACAGAACTTGCAGCGGTTCGGAGCAAACGTCTTTGCACACACCTTTGTGTAGCAATATCTGGTTACAATAAATTTGACATTTTAAGCTCAAATACTTAGATACTAGCCTATTACATTTATATTTTTGCCTGCAATGTTCCTAGACCCAAAGTCTGAAAGCCACTGTAAATGTCCACTTTACTCATTCGGTGGGAGCAACTCAATAAACGTCTTTATTATGTATTTTTTTCCAACGCTCGGACCCAGAAAATCAAAATCGGCTTTACTGTAGCATAATGGACAGAGCGTTAAACGTCTAACCAACTGGAAGCGGGTTCGCGCCTAATGTGATGCACAACCTAGGGTTGGTTATGTTTGGCCAGTAAAGGCTTATACGTACGAAATGGCCCAATCAGCCCGAAACAGGCGAGTTCCGGGAAGCAGTTTAGAAGTACAAGATGTAATCGCTAGAACTAGAAGTTGACTTGTATAGCGTTTCGGATTCCGCCTTGGACCCTTCCTCAGAGGTAAACGCAAAACTGGTAGATAAATGTATATAGCTGACGTGGTCAGGTAGTGGTTGGAGTCGCTGGTTTTCCGACACCACAGACCAAAATTCTGGACTCGGTATGTGGATGACACCTTCGTCGTTATTCAGCAGGGTCAGGTACTGACATTCAGGAAGCGTCTGAATGTTGTCTTCCTGGAAATTCAATTTACGAGGGAGAGGAAAGAAGACAGCCAGCTGGTCTTTCTGGATGTCAACTTTTGCCACAAAGAGCGTGGTGGCCTAAAAACTAAAGAGTTCTGTAAAGGCAGCCAATACTATGCAAGAACTGAGCTTCAAAAACAACCCCCGCTCAGTCACAAACACAGCCACGTAAGAGTGCCATACCGGCGCGCTGAGATGTATTGCAGTGAAGTGGAGGACATGATTACTGAATTACAATATCGTCGACGGGTACTGAGACGGAAAAGCTACTTGCGCAACTTTGCCCACCAGTGCATACGTAAAGGAGAAAAGTGCTCAAAGGCACCCGGTCCAAACATTTGGCGAACTCTTTCCAACGTGAATAATGTGCCGGAAGCAGTCAACCACTTCCGCACACCCCTTGGGTTAGGATTTTCGCGCAGGTCGCGAGAACAAAAGGCTTACTACCACGGCAGGAAAGGGCTGGAGTTTTTAACAAGATTTGGCGCAGTTGCGAACAAAGCAACCACGTCGGAGAAAACGGGCGATAACTCAGGAGGCGAATGGCTGAGCATGAAGCAGTGGTGAGGGAAATATATGCTAGCTTGCGGTTTGCAGCTCAATCGACGGCTCTTGACCATATTTTAAAAGTAAATGGGGCCGGAATCATCGCAAGAGATGACAAACGCATGAACCGCGAGCTGCTGGAGTCATGGTTCTCAAGCCCGCAATGACTTGCC